GAAAGAGTCTGAACACTTATGTAAATGTGGTAGAATTTTTTTCAAAAATCCATTTTTTGGGGGGATTAAAGACTAGTACTGAGTAATGTGAAAAAAATCATAAAATAATGTTAAAAAAATAGAGGTGAAAACTTTCTGAATGCACTGAATGTGCAAAAATGGATAAAAAATTGTAACTGACTCCTTTAGTTGTCATTTAGAACAAAGGAACAGGAGACTTCAGTTAGAGAACATGACATCAAAAAATTTACAATCTGCATAAAAACAAATAATATACTCATGAAGCACAGCAAAAAAAAAACACCTGGTAAAACAAAATATAGATTCCTGACATAGTATACTTGAAACTCAATACAATCATATAATAAAGATATAAGGAAATGTTTGCTCATAAAATAATTTAGAGAAACAGAGGAAACGCAAAAAACAATAAATAAATCACTAACAGAAGAGTGGGCACACAATGTTAACAACAATACTAATGACAAAAATATAACTGAAGCTGAATACACAAAAACAAACACACAAAACAAGACCTAATACAAGCTATAAGCAAAATATACCTAGGGCATTGATAACCCACTATTCTAGAGTATATAAAATAGTATAACCTCGAAACTTGATTCTCATGGATATAAACACACTGATTTAAACACACAAATACAGGAAACACACAGCATGTGCTTCAAAGTAAAAGAAGGATTAGTTAGATTAAAAACAAAAGAAGAAAGGTATATCAAAGAGGATAAAGGTCTAGCTGACTGCCTCAATGAATATTTTTGTTCAGTATTTACATATGAAAATTAAGGAAAGGGGCCTCAGTTAGGAAAAAATACAAATGAGTCATTTGTTACATGTGAGTTTACAGAGGAAGAGGTTCTATTTCAACTGTCAAAAGTAAAGACAAATAAGTCAATGGGACCTGATGGAAAACACCCAAAGTTATTAAAAGAACTTAGTGGTGTACTAGCAAGGCTATTAACAGATTTATTTAACCAATCGTTGTTAACAGCAGTAGTCAAAGAAGATTGGAAGTTAGCGAATGTTGTGCCCATTAACAAGAAAGGTAATAGGGAGGAGTCAGGCAACTATAGGCCAGTAAGCCTTACTTCAGTAGTGGGCAAGGTAATGGAAACCATGTTAAAGGATAGGATTGTTGAACATCTAAAATCACATGGATTTCAAGATCAGAGACAACATGGTTTTACTTCAGGGAGCTCATGCCAAACTAATCTTATTGATTTTTTTGATTGGGTAACTAAAATAATAAATCAGGGTGTTGCAGTAGACATTGCTTACCTAGATTTCAGTAAAGCTTTTGACACTGTTGCACATAGAAGGCTTGTCAATAAACTGCAATCTTTAAGTTTGGATTCCAATATTGTTGAATGGGTAAGGCAGTGGCTGAGTGACAGGCAACAGAGGGTTGTAGTCAATGGAGTATATTCGAAGCAGGGGCTTGTCACCAGTTGGGTACCTCAGGAATCTTTTCTTGGACCTATTCTCTTTAATATTTTTATTAGTGATATTGCAGAAGGTCTTGATGGTGAGGTATGTCTTTTTGCTGATGATACTAAGATATGTAACAGGGTTGATGTTCCAGGAGGGATAAGCCAAATGGCAAATGATTTAGGTAAACTAGAAAAATGAGAGATATAGACAAAAACAACTTCAGTGTTTGGGTGATCAACCCCACATCCCAACACACAGAGTCCACCAGTGCAGCGCTTTAAATGTGTTTACACTCACCCCTCAGTGTATATATAGGGTATTTTCCACATGTAAGAAATAAAGAGATATATAATAGTGTGATATATTACTTTACAAATGTGTATTATAGTAAGTATATGAATAAACTCAATTTTTTTAGAGCCTTTTTCGATATCGGCTCTAAACATAAGGAGAATCTGGGCCTTTTAGGTGGCACCAGGGAACCTTCTTCTGTGTTTTTCCTCTCAGCAGCAAATATGGAGATAAAGCAGAGAAACAGGAACAATCTCGGTGTAGCTATTTTAACAATTAGATAGTAAAGTATAAAATTGCCTGCTCACCTTGCTTGGAGCCTGTTGGATAACTGGAAAAAAAAACTAGAAAAATGGTCAGAGCTGTGTCAACTGACATTTAATGTGGATAAGTGCAAGATGATGCATCTTGGACGTAAAAACCCAAGGGCAGAGTGCAGAATATTTGATAGAGTCCTAACCTCAACATCTGAGGAAAGGGATTTAGAGGTGATTATTTCTGATGACTTAAAGGTAGGCAGACAATGTAATAGAGCAGCAGGAAATGCTAGAAAAATAATTGGTTGTATATGGAGAGGTATTAGCAGTACAAAGCTCATGCTATTGTACAAAACACTGGTGAGACCTCACTTGGAGAATTGTACGCAGTACTGGAGACCGTATCTCCAGAAGGATATTGAAACTTTAGAGAGAGTTCAGAGAAAGGCTACTAAACTGGTTCATGGATTGCAGGATAAAACTTACAAGGAAAGCTTAAAGGATCTTAACATGTAATGCTTGGAGGAAAGATGAGACTGGGGGATATGATAGAAACATTTAAATACATAAAGTGAATCAACACAGTAAAGGAGGAGACTATATTTAAAAGAAGAAAAACTACCACAACAAGAGGACATAGTCTTAAATTAGAGGGGCAAAGGTTTAAAAATAATATCAGGAAGTATTACTTTACTGAGATGGCAGTGGATGCATGGAATAGCCTTCAAGCTGAAGTGGAAGAGGTTAACATAGTAAATGAGTTTAAGCATGCGTGGGATAGTGTGTGTGTGTGTGTGTGTGTATGTATGTATGTGTGTGTATATATATATATATATATATATATATATATATATATATACACACACTGCCTAAACCTTACAGAAACTCAATTTAAACTAGCAAATAGATGGTATTTAACACCGGAACATTTCAAGAACATTTACCCAGGGTTATCAGATTTTGGAAATGTAATATTGATGAAAGTAATTTGATCCACAGCTGGTGGCAGTGCACACCCATAAAAAAATTTTTCAAAGAAGTAATTAAGATAATATAATATATCAAATAACGGATATAAAACTACCTCTCAACCCTGAAGTGGTCCTACTAAATATAAAGTGGCCAGATATGACAAAAATAAATTAATGTTAATACTACAGATATTTAAGGCAGCTAAATTACTCTTAGCACGAAATTGGAAAACAGGGAAAATTCCATGCATAAATGAACCAATAGAACAAGTTATATGGCAAGCAAGAATGGAAAGGGGTATTCTGGTGAATTTAGGAAACAGATATAAACAAATAGAAGACTGGGACACATGGATAAAAAAATGGATAACATAATAGAATTGATCGGAATAACCAATAGAGAGAGCGCGCGTATGCTCAGTTTCAGGGAAGGGAAGTATGAGATCAAATGAAGGGAGAAAAAAGAAAGAAAATAGAACCCCAAAATGGGCAGACAAAGAGAATAACAAAATATCGAGACTATGTACGATAAAAAAAAGGTTCTCTCTCTCCAAGACCAGATGAACAAAGCAAATAGATAAAAAAAACTATATTAGGAATTAATTAATAGGAATAGGAGGGATCCGGGTGGGAGGGTTTGGTAAGATTATAAGAATTGTAAGATATATTTATGACATATGTATGATATTGATGATGACACAGTACCAATGACTGAATCATATAAGTATTATCAAAACTTACATAAGGCAGGTCTGCGTCTGAAATAATTTTTTTTTTAAAAAGCATGCGTGGAATCGGCCTTTCAGCTAAAGTGGTAGAGGTTAACACAGTAAAGGAGTTTAAGCATGTGTGGGATAGGCATAAGGCTATCCTAGCTATAAGATAAGGCCAGGGACTAATGACCGTATTTAGAAAATTGGGCAGACTAGATGGGCCGAATGGTTCTTATCTGCAAAAAAGAAAAAAGAGAAAATGAACTGGAAGACCACCAGAATCGAATATAAAGGTGGAAAACCTATTCATTCATAGATCTATACCTCCCAAAGAGTAAGTGTATATGGGGATATATTCTAGCTAGTATTTGTGAATATTTATTTCACCCACCTGATATCCCTTAGGGGAATTTTTTCTGGCAATTTTTACAGCCAGTTTTGTATATATAATTTTAATATGTATGTCATTTTTCATTAAAGGTCTTAGAACCCGTTGTACATAGTACACTTACTCTTTGGGAGGTATAGATCTATGAATGAATAGGTTTTCCACCTTTATATTCGATTCTTGTGGTCTTCCAGTTCATTTTCTCTTTTTTCTTTTTTCTCATAACTTGGAGGGGTTAAGCCCCCTATACCTTCTGTAACCTCTACAGAGTTTGGGGAGTTGAATAACCTCAACACCCTACATACTCTGTCTTTTTTCTGGTTCTTATCTGCCGTCACATTCTATGTTTCTATGTTTCAAACTTAAAAATTGCAGCCTACATCAAATTTAATGCACATCTTAATACTAACAACTGTTACAATGTGTACTAACTGAAGGATGACATAAGGAAAATTAGTTTGGTTTATATGTGAGCCATTTGACTGTAATTGTTTCTTGTAAGACATGCAAATAAAAAACAGCAGTATGTCAATGCTATCAGCCACACAATATTACAATATAACAGGACACAACTGTCTACTTTTACTGTATTAGTTATTATGGGCATCATAAATGGCTCCTGAGATGCATAAGCAGACTTTTTACATAGATTTTTAACACTCTATATATGTAAATAGAAGTACAAGTACAAGTAATAGAGCAAACAAATGTAAACACATGAGATTTGGGGTCTCTATTTAATATTTTTGGATAAACTTTTCAAATGATTTAAAACCAAAAAATTTAAATTGATGCCACAACTTTTTACTATATGAACATACACACACTTTTATTTTTTAGCTTTACATGACACTACATGTTGAATCTTCCAAACAACAACTCATTATGCATAATATTTACAACAGAGTATCTTTTGCATAAAATATCCATAAAATATCCTTTATTTTTACAACCCCAGGGAAATTAACAAATTCAAGCAGAGTCCTACGCATTCTGTGTTATTCAGTTATATATGCATACATAGAGTATTCCTTCTTCCGAAAATGCAACATCTTTAATATATGCCAATGGAATGAGGAAAAATCAAATATATAGTAATAGTGTAATACCCAATTATCTACTTTAGCTAATGGAACACGCGCACAAAACCAAGCTTTTAAATTGACTCTAGATTTGACAGGTCCATTAACACACAATGAAGTCACATTTCCCTTTTTTCTCATGATCATCTTGCCTCTTTGTTGTAATGCCAAAACATTTATCAGTAGAGAATGGCCAACATAAGTCACAATTTAAAATTTTGGATACGCTCTTCAAATGATTTAATATTTTTGTATGCATGTTTATTATTTTTTTCAAAATATAAAATATAAAAAAGTCATATATAATATGTATAACAAAAAGTATAAAAATCTTTTTATACTTATATTTTTCAAAATATTAACTAATTTGAAAATATTAAATTGAGGCAATAGTTTTCTACAGTTTACAGCAATTAATGCAAATATAGAATAGAAAAAACACATTTATGTGGAATGGACCCTCTATTGTCAGTTTTTATGGAAGTATCTAGCCTTTGTCTCAAGCAATACACCAAATATAAAATATTGAATTGTCTATTGCATACTACATCATTTTAGCAGGGACGCTAAAGAACAGCTTCATAACATTTTCTCTCTCATGTGTAAATGTATACAATGTCCATTGACCTCCGGAGGTGCAAAACCAGAGATGCTGCTGCATTCACACTTTGTAAGCTATAGAAGTCAGTTTAATTATAAATATATTCTGAAAATGAAGGGTCTGCTGAGAGATTCTGGGCAGTTGACATCTCACCTCAAAATATAATGTTTGGACACCTAAGAGGAGGGTTGCCTGAATTTCCCTGTGTGCATTAAATTATGGAACCATTAGCTTCACATGGGTGTTGTGAGCAGACTCAAACATCTTCTTAATTGAGGGATAGGATAGATCTAAGAAAATCTGGGACATTTCCAGGAGCTGAAATCCAAGTGTACAGAATAGCTCTAAATGTCCCATAACACCGAATCAAAGTATTTCTGAACTCAAATCCCCATGGCAACATTATCAGATAAATCCCACCTGAATTTGCAACATTAATACAAAGGAACCTTTTTATACTGCATAATACAATCAGGGATTAATTTTAAGTCATATGCGAAAAACCATGTCTTAAAGGTTACTTGCCTCTGTATGATCACTGAGGATACATTTCTACTCGCCTGGGCTAAAGTTTTACTTGCCAAAGGCTAGTGTAGAGTGAAAATCTTGAACCAGGATATCATTATACATGATGCCCACCACAATTAAATAGGCACATTTGAAAGCATGAATGTCTCAAGAGCAGTAACAATAAAGAGTAGGGAAGTAATACCAGCAATGGTTAAAGCTCCTTCTACTTGAATTTTTTTATACTCTCGTATAAAGACTCCATAATTTGTAAGAAGCATGACGATCTTCAATTTTTCTCTAACCGAAACTTGAGTACACTCCATGTTATCTTAGAGCAGTGATGGAGAACCTTTTTGAGCCCGAGTGCCCAAGCCACAATAAATGCCAACTTTTCTTTCCTCAAAGTGCCATAAAGGCAATTAAACCTGAATACTGAGGTTTAAGTTTAGAAAAAAAAACTCGTACAGTTGTCCAAACTAGTTAACATCTTTTGTTTTAAAAGAACACAACAGCAGAGAGTTCAATTATACAAATTTTAAATAATGATATAAATAATATATACAATTAAGCTTATATTTACTAGTATCTCCAACAAATGCAGTACATACATACAATACATACACACAGATTGCTGAGTGTGGGAGGGGTGCTGTATGTATGTGGGAGTGCTGTGTGTGGGGGGTGCTGTGTGTGGAGGGGAGGGCTGCTGTGGGGGGGTCGGGGTGCTGTGTGTGCAGGAGGGTGGTAAAGATACATAAAATCTTTATACCCCCTCCCTTCTTCTTACCTTTGTAGAAGGGGGACACAGCCAGCCCTGGTGGTCCGGTGGTGGTAAGTATGTGCCTGGCTGCAGCTCTCCTGTCCTCCCGCTCAATTCTGTGTGGAGCATTGCCATGGGAATGCGCGGCAACGCTCCACACAGGAGGACAGGAGAGCTGCTTCCCAAATCCCTCCCCCTGCCTCCAGGTCCTCCCAATACTCTGCATTGCTGCTGACCGGCACCAGCAGCCCTCTCCCCCCCGTGACCTAAGACCACATGGGCTCGACGTGCCACAGGTTCGCCATCACTGTCCTGGAGGATCATTTGACCATTTTCTTCCAGTAATTCTTAAGGTTTTGTCTATAGACTTATAAAAGTGAACATTCCATGCCAACTTACCTCCATTTCAAATGTGAGAATGTAGTTTATTGCTCACTGTAAGTATAAAGGCAAAAGCAATCCACCAAGATCTTCATTCTAGGGAGAAAACAGATCCTGTGTTTATAAGCATAGGCATGGCTCACCTGGGCTAGATACAATGCACAGTGTAGAATGAAAAGTCTAAAGTGTGATTACTTAAATATAAATTGCCTCAAATAAATAATCTCTTAATAACTCACTTTCATTTATATACTTGTTCGCCTCCCAACAGTACATACTCATAGTTATGTCATGTTTCCTGCCATTTCAAATCCTACCACACTAATTCACCTCTTCTGACGATCCATTGTGTAATAATACTTTTACAACAGAGAACATTCTCTAATTGCACATCCCTGCCATTTTATTTGCTCTCTCGTTTAACCACCACAGTAACTGCTCTCCATTGCTATTCCAGACACATCTGTGTGACTCCATCTCTTGACTATTCTCAGACTCCTTCCTCCCCCTCACCCAGCCCACACAGTTCTAAAGCTGGAACTCTCTGCCCTTCAAAACCCTAAAAACACACACATAACCAAAACCCATATCATTCTTCCTGCCCCCTAAATTTTAAAGTACACAATATAATACAGGTAAATACTGTCATTATGTTCCAGAACACCTCAGATATGCATGCCACACTTCTTCAATAGGCACAATGTTCAAACCCACATAGGTCTATTCTATAAAAATCCAGTTGTGATGAACTGAAAAACAAAATGCTACATTTAGGTCAAATAGTGTATCTAATTTAGCTTATTTCCCACCTTGATACATTTGGCCAAATATAAGCAATTTCTTTTTTTTCTTTCACCAAAAATCAGTGTTAAATGAATACATTGCACTAAGCTCTAGTATGTAAGCTCATTTGAGTAGGGCCCCTAACCCCCTCTGTTCTTGTGCATCCAACTTGTCTGGCTACAAATACGCATTTGTTAGTCAATCCATTGTACAACGCTGCAGAATTTGTTTGGTGCTTTATAAATAATAACAATAATAAGCAGTGGCATTTAATTTCCAGCTTCCACTGGTCTACATACTGCCCTGCCCCCACTCCATACAACTCCTGCACCCATTTGCTACATCTTCTAGTTATTCCAGGGGTTGCACCAAAGAACACATAAATCTACCAGTGTCCCTCCTACGTGTTAAGCGTTGTTATCCAGCACTGACCCTGCAACTGTGATCAAGCACCTGAAAGAAAACATCATGTGCCAGATCTGTCTTTAGCAGACCACATCATAACCCATGGATTTCGCTGTCTTAAATATAATAGCTTCCATGCCATTCCAGAGATGATACAATCAGCAAACGCCATCATACACTGAGTTCCTAGTGTTTCACAATTACCTTCAAACCTCCAGCACACTGCTCACATCTAATAATCATTACACCTTACCAGCACAATGAAGCAGCTCCTTTTTCCATTATTACTTTGTCTCTGCATAAATCGTAGCTGGCTTCATTTTAGACACAGACAGCAAGATTAAATAAATATATAAAATAAATGCATGAAAATAAAACCATCCAGAACAAAATCAAGATTATCAACCTACACTCATCCACCAAAATCATCATCTATTCCATTTATCAAGATTCCTGGACCAGACTATAAATATTCACCTGCAGCCAAGCAGAGAACAGGAAGGATGCTTAAAGATCCTGAATTTGCCACAGCCTCCATGGATTTTTCTTCTCTCTCTGTCTCTCTCCCTCCTCCCTGTCTGACTATCCGACACCCCTCCCTGTATCCTACAATCCCTCCTCTCTCCCTGAATCTGTATCTCCTCCTCTGTTCCACTGCTTCCACTGTCTATTCTTATATAATTCCTCCATCAGCCTCACTGTATCTCATTGCCTCACCCTCTAGCTACGTAGCCATTTCCTCTACAAATCATGCGTCTCGCCCTTTCTTGCAAACATATCTGTATTATTTGTATTTCTTTGTCTTTCTTCCCTCTATATCTCATGCAATATACAGAGTACCTAGATGCAGTGAGTTGCTTATAGAAATGATATATGATATAATGATGTCAATAACAATTCTAGTATCGGTATCTTTTTCTCTTTCTAATGGCTCCTTGCCCTTTCTCATACCCATCCCTGTCTCACTTTTTTTATTATTACTGTAAGAAAATATGTGAAATGGCAGAAAGCAAAACACGTACCTGCATATGAACACCTATCATTTAGATAACTTTACCATAAAATCTGCTCAGAAATACAATCTGTATGTAATGTGTGTGTGTGTGTGTGGTGATTGCTAACTTGATGTGATGTGTGGTTTGTGCTGGCTGTATGTGATGTTTGTTGGTGGCTTTCTTCAAGGAAGGGGGCATTGATCCAATAAGGGGGTCAAACACTCCTGACCCTACAGCACTTTAGCTTGATGAAAAGCATTATGTGTGAGAGTGTGTCCTCTTTATTCATTTTGGAAAATAGTGTGGATTTTAATAGAAATTAACACTTTTATAAATTATGCTGATTACACCTCCCTGGTTTTTCAAGCAGACAACAGTTCCTGTTACTTCCTGGTTTGGTTAGCTTATTTACACTAAACCCAAGAGGCAGCAATTGCTCAGAGCACCTATTTTGCAAAGGCTTCTCACTGAGCTGCACTGGGAAGTCTGTGATTAAACAGCCACATAAAGTCTGGTCAAGAGCTTGCAAAGGCTTCAGAGAAGAGATCTGCAGTTTTTGCAAGCCTTTTTTTAGGCATAACTCCAATGAAAAAATGCATGATTAAATTCATGCAAGTTTTCATTTGGGCTACATCTACTAAACAGTGATTTTTATGTATTTTGTATTTGGGCAGTGGAGTGTCCCTTTAACTCTGCCTGTTTGTCCAGGTGGGGAGCGTGGGGTTTGCACCAACAAACAAACTCAGTGGTGCCCCTTCATGTGGCGCCCAGGGCACATGCCATACCTGTCATACGCTGCAGATAGACATCATTTTTCACTAAGCCAGAAATTGTGAGATATTATCAATTCTCCACAATTCCACAAATGTATGTCTTGGGTCAGCCCTACGTGGGGCTTCTTCTACCTCCTTCTATTAAAGGACCACTATAGTGCCAGGAAAACATACTCGTTTTCCTGGTACTATAGTGCCCTGAGGGTGCCCCCACCCTCAGGGCCCCCCTCCCGCTGGGCTCTAGGGGGTGGAAGGGCTTAAATTTACCTATTTTTCCAGCGCTGGGTGGGGATCTCTCCTCCTCCTTCTCGTCGTCATCGGCTGAATGCGCATGACCCGCGCACGCATTCAGCCAGTCCATAGGAAAACATTCTTAATGCTTTCCTATGGACGCTGGCGTCATCTCACTGTGAAATGAGACAATGAGACAGCCACTAGAGGTTGGATTAACCCTATTATAAACATAGCAGTTTCTCTGAAACTGCTATGTTTATAGAAGAAAGGGTTAATCCTAGCTGAACCTGGTACCCAGACCACTTCATTAAGCTGAAGTGGTCTGGGTGCCTATAGTGGTCCTTTAAGAACTTACTAGTTACTTTTTTTGTAACTAACAGGTTTTTCATTAAAAAAAAAAAAGATAAGCATGCTTTTAGATCAGCCAACCCATTTATCGAGTTTGGCAGCTTAAATTTCAGATGACATTAAATGCTGCTGAAACTCGATAAAAAAAAATCTGATAATCATAGACTGTTATCAACAGATATAATTAAATCAAGACTGCAATCCAAGGAGAGCTGTCGTTTCTGAGATACTAAGCATTCTACAAACTGATTTATATGGTTCTTTACTAAAATCCATATTAGATCTGGATGGACAAAATTTAATTAAAAAACCCAAATTTCAAGCAGATTTTCAATCCTCACATTTATTAACAGCAAATCCAGTTGAAGTATGGTTAGTTCAACCTAATTAGCACACACACAAATGGTCTATCATATGGCTACACATATATCTATGATTTTCTCATTTCTGACAGATTGCCTATTCATTGCATTATTTGTTGCAGTGGCATTACAATTTGACATATACTACACATATAAGCTGTAGGGAAATGCATTTATGTGGTTATTTTGAAAGTAATTGAGAGTTAAAGGGGCACATGAAGCACCAAAATGAGCTGTAATAGAAATGCCATCATAACCTGTACTATTTCCTTTTCTTGACATAAACTAAGGGTCCCCTGGGTGCCTGTGGCCCTGTTTCCTCCTCAGTATATTGATATTATGGAAGTTGAAATGAGCAATATTGATTCTGTCCGGCATTCATTGGCAAACCCTGTCAGCTGACATCAGGGGCCACAAGTGATGTCTTGATCTATGGGTGCATGAGGGGCACTTGGTTTGTTTAAATCAATTTAAAACAGTTGCATACAGAACCAGGGCTGGGTTACATTCGAAGCCATTTTGTTAAAAAAAAATAAATCTGTATTTTCATGTTTTTTTATTGCTGTTGTTTGTTGTCATGAATTTCTGCATACAAATAAAAAAATGTCAACATACAAAGCATTTTGGGACACAGAGAACTTTATATCAAAACTGTGATTTATTTACGTTTTTTTTTTTTAATGTTCACAATACATATGAGTAGGCAGATTATCATAGTGGAGTATCAATACATAAAATTAGCAAAGTTCAGAATGTATTAGTGATCAAATTATCAGACGTATAAACACTAGTAGAAATGTGAACAGTGACAGTCTCATTGTGATGTGAATGATGCTGATCCCTTCCAATGCTTTAATACCGAGAAAAGAGGAAAGTGGATTGTGGGAAAACAAATAAAAAAAATATTGCAGCACCTGTTATTTAGTATCCTGTTTATTAGCTGGCAATACAGTTTTCTAGTTTGCTCAACTCATATCCTGCCCTCTCTGCTCTAAATCTGCTATTCTCCTCCCTACAAGCAGCATGTGTTTGTGGATAAACATGAGCTCAGAAGTGAAATGAGGAAGAAAGGAATACGATCAAGCTTAGTGTTGTAGAAGAACATAGTAAGGTCACACACTTGATGGACTGCTGGCAAAAACACCCTTACGTACCAGACAACAGTGAGAGAACTGAGACCACATATTGGGAACAGATTCAACAAAGACTCAATATATACACTATCAGGAACCATACATACACTTGTACAGGTGAGCATGATCATCATCCTTGGCAAGAGAAAGTCTGTGGTTACCAAATATATTAGTATAAATTGCTATGGTAGGCATAGTAAAGTGAATATGCTTGGGGAATCAGGAATCTGTCGACTAAGACATCTATTGCAGTGCCTGACATGCCTAAAGCGATTCATGTCTTATAATAAATGTAGAGGGGCATTACCTGATGTATTTATAAAGGAACATTTTGTTATTGAGCAATACTAAACACTACTAACACAAAAAACATATTGAAATATATATATAAAGCTTCATAGTTCTACTGATAAATAGTGGAGATATGTTTTAGCTTACAGATGTGCTTTGTGTGTGATGTGAGCCCTCTTTTTTTCATTTTACAAAAAGTGCAGATTTCAATAGAAATTGGTAATATTATAAATTAGCTCTGTTGCACCCTCCCCCTCTTTTCCCACCCGCTGTCAACCTGCTATTTCCTGGTATTTTAGCTCATTGGTGCTGATAGCCCCGATCTGGGGGAGTAACAAATTCAAATTTCACCCAGATCGGTTCAGGGGTTTTTAAAAAGTGTGGAAGTCTTAAGTTACCGACCGCACACGAAGCTCTTGCCCAAACTAGTTCCACGAATTCAGTGTGTGTGGTCAGCCGATTTTAGTTCCAGACACTCGACGACCAAGTCCCGCTGCCTTTGTCTCGAACAAACAAGATGGCCGCCGTTTTCTCCGCCATGTGGCAATAGTATATACGAATGGCAGCCACCCTGAGAGAGCACTTAATTGACGGGCTCCTTTGAAGTCAATGAGCCAGGAGGGTGTTCAGTAGTTTCAATCTACCAAACTAATGTGGCATAAACTAAAAGAATAAACCAAACAGACGAATGCTCAGAGAAAACCCCAAACTCCCGGTGGGTTTTCTCACAGGCCTTATTGCCACAAATGTAATCTTTTCTCAAGATCCTGGGAATTATCTTACCATGATTTCCCAGCCACTTTTGAAACCATACTATATTGTGGTGCACATGATTTTGACAGCTCCACTCATAATTTGTCTGTTTGTTCAGGGCAAGCATACCTGGAGACACACAAAGCTTTCAATGTTGGGCAAAAACATAAACTGTTACCATATCGCGTGGTGTATCGTTAGGTTCCATGTTATATGTTAAGGTAGCATTTCTACAATCTGTTTCCCCCTCGTGTACCTTGGGTAAACTGGCAAAGTGACCTTTTATTTTTGCTATGTGATTCATGGACATGGGCCCCAGACATATTGTAGGTGGAGAGATTATACCAGCAATTTCTAAATATGTCCCTTGATCTGTGTTATGCTTCCGCTAGAATTAGATACAGGAACACAACTGCAGAATTACTTGGTGGTACTATACCTTTAAGAAAATTAAAGGAATTACTTGAGAAGTTTTATTTATCTTCTATCTCTTGTGTAATGAAAATAAGTTGTAGAAAATTATAATTGCTTCTAATAGCAGTTTTGCATGCAGCATGAAATAAAAAGAAAAAAAATGTCTTAAATGAATAGTTGCAACAGTAGTAGCAAACAAAAGTAACAAATCCTTATTTACTTGAAATAGGAGTTAGCATTCAGCATTAAACAAAAATTGAAGTGAATTGCTTGAAGATTTGCAACAATATATCAAGAGAAAAAATAAGTGTTTACAATGTAGATCAAGTAGTTGTATCTTTTGTTAATAGCAAGTAGCTGGATTAGGTAGGAAATAGTTGGTACTTATGGTTTTCCAGGTAAACTCTGTGGATGATTTTCTTGGCTGGCTCGGAGTGTTAGGAGACATCCAGCTGTAATATGAACCATGGTTCAACTTTTTTGATAGTGATAGAAGAATTTCTGGTGTCAGCCCTGGTCTGGGAAAGGAGATCTAGGTCCGAGTAGAGTTTCAAGGAGTGGAGATCAGCCTGGCGTTCGAGGTTGAGACAAAATCACTCAGCAGTTTGAATTTGGCGCAGCCCCCCTATAAGGCAGGTGAGTATTGCGTCATTTAAGTGGGAGGAGCTTACTTTCGAACGCAGAAGTAACCCCGGGGGAACTGAGTTTTGGTAAGCTCTGACAATCTGAGAGTGCATTATGAGTAGAGTGATCTACATATATTTGAACCTCATATCTATAATCTGTTAAATTCTAATCATTCATTGATATTGGTACACCAATCAAAGGGATTCCTTTACAAGTGGCAGGAATATGGGAACATATCCAGCAGTTGGTCGCATTCAGCTGCTTGGCAGTTTGTTGATGTATAAGCCAGATGGAATTTGTCTGCTTCCCACCGTCCACCTGTGCGTAAAGGCATAAAACACAGAAAAACAAGCAGGGCAGTACATGCATTTTGACAGTTTGTTAATCATTTTTGTCCCCAGTGGCCTCACCCTTTGAACGATCTCGTCCTCTGGGAGTAGCCCTGTACCCAATAGCTGCAGTGGACTGAAGCCGAATTTAACCAGTGTCCAAAGGCCGCACACAGGGGTACTCAAAGACTTTGCACTTACAGACCAAGGCACATTTAGTAAGAAACTCTGCATCAGCCCACACTTATCCTTCTATGATTTTTGTCCCTTTGCTTTGCAGACTATAGTTAGTGACAATTTACTTGACAAACTAACGTTTTGAGGCAGCACAATCACACGCTGTAAAGGACACTGATACGGTGGGCAGGCCCTCCGGTCTGCAACTCTGCCCGGTGTGAGCTGCAGAAAACGTGATGGGGTTCTCACAAGCTCTGGACAGAGCGTTGCCATGGGAGCTCACGAGGCCTCCATTACATGGTCTGCAGCTCACACCCTGCAAAGCTGCAGACCTGAGGCTCTCTCCCCGGGCAGACTGTTGGAGGTGCCCCGCACCCGGTGTTGGGCCCTCGGTCAATGACCGCAGACCCGACAAATCAGTCTGTCCCAAGGCGATATAGGCTGCTGCGAGGCCTTAGGTGGCTGCCTAATTTGCCCAATTAGAGAGCTGCCTCACTGCATATATATGCATGTGTGGTGGGTGGTTGAAAATGTCATAGCTGTGTGTGCTGTATGTGGCTGGCTGTGTATGATGTGTGTGTTTTGGTTGTGTGGGATGGATGAGTGGATGGCTATTATTGTTGTGTGAGTAGCTATTAGTGATATATTTGGGCAGCTGTTAGTTGTTTCTGGCTGTGAGGCATGTGTGTGGCAGTGTGCCTAATTTGTTTATAGAAATGTACACAAATAAATAGGGGCTGCACCACAAGGGATAGTGGGATATAGTCAATGTCAGAAAGTTTAAAGATGTAGAAGAGAACCGTTGGGTTCACACCAAATGGTGTCTTTATGATATATTCAGCGACAGGTGTGGATTCCTGAGGCTTGGGAATGGTTTTGGTAATCTGTCTCTCTGATACTCAGTGATATAAAATGGAGAGAAGAAGGGGAAAAGGACCAAATAGTGCAATATGTCTCACATAAAGTGGTTGTAGTGAAATAATAATAATGCACTCCCATTTGGCAGAGCTATGGCTAGCTCTAGCGTCTAACGCTTGTAGTGGTACAATCCCCACTTCGGGATATAGTGTAGATATTCTCAGTGTTTTGGTTAGCTGGAGCTACTATGGCTGTATCTAGCTTCTCGCCTCTCTCCTTCCCCCTTCAGTTTGAGGAGAGAAACGAAAAGCTAGACACGGCCATAGTAGCTCCAGCTAACCCAAATACTGAGGATATCTACACTATATGTGTGGTTAGCTATGGTGGGTATTTTACTGTGTATGGGTAGCAGTCAATGATGTTTGTGGATAACTATGGGTGATGTGTGTTGCTGTATTTGTGACAAGTGGATGTCTGTGCATGGGTAGATTATTGTCATGTGTGTGGTGAAACTACATTTATTGTTCGGGGGTAATTTTTCCATATTCCCTGTTGGACCAGTAGGATCAGAATCTGGTGAAAGGACCTTATGGATTGCATTTCTTGAAAATCACTATAAATGCTCCTTCTCTTGCAGGACCATGAGGGAGCATAAAAAGTGATCTGCACCCACCTGAGGTTCAGACTATGATCTCCCTTGCAAAAAAACTGTTGGCTCTCCAGCTGCATTAGTGTGTGCATCTGCACACCAGGTTCACCTAGTCTGCATGCCTATGGCCAGCCCAGTGATAGTGTATTTTTTTGTCTATACAAAACTGCATGGTTAAAAGGGTGCTGGGTTTGTTGTGTTCTCCACATTATTGCTCAACTACCATTAAATGTTAGTTACTCTCTTTCTTTCCTCAGTAGTTGTGTTTAACACTTGTATGTAGATGCCACAGAATTACATATCCAGTGACCAATGAGTAGCAATATCTAATGGGAACTGCAGATTATTAACTCCTCACAATAGATATCCACCTAATTACTTTCCCTCTCTCACTCAGGTTTCTCAGCATGGCAATGTCACCGGAAATGTTTCAGGAATTGGAAACAATGACCTGCCTGCTAAGTGGAGCTTCCCAACTCACCTCACGGATTGGCCGGGTTAGCTTAGCTGCTTTCTTCTTTGTTCGTTTTGGTATTTTGGCGGTGGGTGCTCGGTCAATTTGGATGGAAGAGGAGAAGAGCTTTATTTGTAATTCATCACAATTACTCTGTGCTCCAAGTTGCTTTGATGAGTTCTCTCCCATCTCTTCATTTAATCTGTTTGCTCTCCAGCTCGTGGTGTTGATTACACACGCCTTGTCTGTAACCTGTTGGAACCGTTCTACTAACCAGGCAGCAGAGACACAGTTGCAGGCATACTTAAGAGGGAGAAAGGTTCAAGTTGTTTTGCATATACTTTGTCTACTGAGTAGAGTGGTCATTGAGGGCATATTCATCTTTACTTATTATGAAATGTCAGGAGGGTTTCTACATCCAGCAGTGACAAAATGTCACACTCAGTTATGTGAGAAGAATGTAATCTGCACAGATTTGAACTCATTCAGTAAAAATGTTTTTAGTTTAGGACTCTGTGCAGTATCGGTGCTCAGTATACTCATCTGCCTAATGGAGGTGGTAATCTCTCCATTGCACAGGCACCCACCTAAGTAATCCATAGCACCAGCCCTGTCCAGTAGAAGGCAGCATTAGTAGTCAAATGTTAAAAGAGTAAACTCATTTTTCATTGCATCTGTATGATGTCACGGCAATATCTATCAGTAAACTCAATGTATCTAGTGTCTGCTACTGAAACTATATTTCAATTAAGTAAATATGTATATATGAAAACAACGCAAAATAATTCTCCATGATTTATTTTTAGTATTATAGATATTGATTAAGCGCCAACATATTCTGCATCATTGTTCAATTGGGGAAGATGGACAGTACAATATAAACAAACTAATGTAGAAGGAATACAGGACCTTGCCCATAAGCTTAGATCTAGCATTTACTGCACTTTTATATAAAGCAATAAGCTAGATAGCCCGTGAGCTTACAATCTAAAGGTAATAATGAGGACTTGAGACAAGAGGGAGCAGGGTTAATGTTAAGGTAATGAACAGGGAGCTTTAGAGCATTTGCACAGACTATGAAGATGCAATGTGATTGAGGTGGTAATTGGGGGAGATGCCAGACATGCTATAAATGAATCGGAAACCAGGGTAGTTGGAAGGAGGGAAGGTAAGTTGGGCAGAGCTTAGTTCAAAGTGAGGGTATTGCTTGGACTGGATTTGATATAAGTGAGTGTAAGACCAGAATGAGAAGATGACATGTAGCAGAAGGTATGTACTGCTGGGGAAAGTAGTGGACATTGTAATAACAGGGAAAGGGAGAAAAAAATGTGTGGAGTTTCAAAATACATTCTATATCCCAAGAAATTAATCGCATGTCTAGTAAATGCCAGTAGACAAGCATTTACAAAAAATAGCATTAAAAAAGTAACAGTAACAAGAGTAACAATAGAGGTAATGGGGGAAAAAATAAGATATGTGGCAACAGAGGGAGTAAACAAAATGCAGAATACTGGTGCTTTAGTGTCTTCAAAGCTGCTCCCAGTACTCAGAAGAGCTTGCCGGAAATTGCTGGGGACAATTGAGGATATTGCTTGAAGCAGATTTCATGTATGTGAGAATGATTTGAAGAAAATGTAAAAAAAAAAAAAAAAAACATGGGTGGGGTGGTTAGCAGGCATTGAGACTAGTCTCATGGAATTGGAGCTGTTCTACAAAACATTTGGGCTAAACTACTATATTCTGAAACTTGGAAATTGATGATATCCAACAATGTCCTACTGACACCATGAGGAGACGTTCCCAACAAAATCTTCTTTTCTAGGCTGGTAAGCAGCAACAAATGGCAGACCTATCACATTCCTACATATCTGTCTTGGAGGATGAAAGCAAGGTCTACTCAAAATTATACTGCCAGTAAACAACCAGTATCCTCAGAAAAGTTGTCTACAAAGAGGGATATAACTAACCTCAACAGGAACCCTCCCAATGTGGTTCCCTTCGTGCCTTCCACTCACAACACTCCAGGATAGGACTGTGGACTGTTTCTACTGGTTCCAATGCTCCTTTATTCATGTATGGTTTAATGCCTCAGTGGACTTAGGTTTCATACTGCATAGTGAATATCCCCCCTTCCACCCACTTTGAGGTTAAGAAGCATTATTCTCTGATTTTTAAGGTATAAACAATTAATAGAAGCAGATCCTATATACCGACCTTATGTTTAGTTTCTCTTTTTTTAGTTATCTCCCTCCCAATTGAGATAGCACTGGACTTTGTCTTTTCCGTTTGTTCGGTACGCCTAATTTTATGTTTATTGTATGTTTTTGACATTTTTGTTTCTCTGTAATTATTTCTTACATACTTAAAACTGCATCATGATGCTTCTTTTATTGTCCAGTTCTATTTCCACTGTTCTAATTTTCTTATGATTACATTTCTGTTGTCAATGATATCCAAATAAAAAAAGATTTACAAGAAAAAAAAGGAACATTTTTATAGACTGTTTAAACTAAACAAAACCTGCACAGGAAAATATGTCCCGCCCTAGAAAGATGGATCGGGGAAGCAGCAATATAAAATGTCAATCTAAAAAAGTACAAAGTGCATATTGACTTCCACTCTTCCACATAGTTTAAAACCGTGCAGTCACTGATAATTTAGTGCAGCACCTGTTCTTCATAACAACCTAGCAACTGGTAAAACATTCAGTATGATCAGCCACAATAAAGTTTATACCTTATGCAAAGTTTATTTGACACCTGTAATTCAGGCCAATCAGTCACATTTTTTTCATTTTAGCTAAACATGATTTATTTATGTTTTAATTTCTATATATTTGGTTGAAGATTATTGTGTACAGGAAGTGTTATTTAAACCATGGGTTTCATTTCCTCTAGGGTTATCACTATTATTAATTTTTTGTAGCCAACAGGTCCTGCTGCAATGTCAGAATGTCGGCAAACCAGAGCTGGATACAATTGACCAGGGTCCTAAGCAGGATACCATACTGGGACCCGTCCTAGAGCACTGAGCTCTGTACTGTAAATGGGGAAGACTGAGTAACATGTGCATGTAGCAGCTGAGTGTTGTGTGTGTATTGGAGGCTGCAAGCTGTAATGGGAGGCGGGGGGTGGGGGGGTAGGAGTGAGAGGGGACCTTGAGTGTGCCTGTGTGTTCTGTCTGAATGTTGTGTGTGGTGGCTGAATTATATGTGTGAAATAGAATTAGTGGTGTGTGCAGGTGGGAGACTGTGAAGTGTGGTGTCTGAGTGTTAGCAGAGGAGTTTAAATGTATGAGGGAGCAATCCTCACATCTTTCCATTTTCGTTCCTTCTCCTGTCTACCTTAGCAGAAGGGACGGGTATAAGCCTTAGTGGTGCAATGGAGGGCTCACTGGAGAGCAGGATCCCTGGTAGTCTGGTGGAAGAGTGTTGTGGTCAGCACCTCTATCTAATACAGATCAATTTAACAGCTCCCTCACGGTTCTTGTGCTCAGTTAATGACATAAACTGCTGGCACTTGAGCTGTGGGTTATTGACAAGTGTCAGGATTGCAAATGAGTTCTAATAGAGGTGCAGACCAAAACACTCCTCCAAGGTAGTGAGGAGGCACAAGGTCTACTCTTCTTAATGGCTCAGGGAACATCCAAGCCATAGGCAGCCGCCTTGGGGGAACCCAAATGACTTGCAATATGAATGCTATATCATATACAAAATTATTGATGGCTGAGATAAGCCAACAGTCAAGCTACAAGTCCATAGTAAAAAAAGGATGAGCTCAACTCAGTATTATATAAAGTGGGTGCAAACCATCAAATTAAATCTATGTATTACTAGCAAATCGACAACTTGTCAAGTGTATATATTTTATTCCTTTTTGTGTACTATGTTTAAAGAATTGTTTATTGATAAATAAAAAGAGCACATTTGTTTTAAGGTACCTACCATCACAAATGATATTGCTATTGTTTGCAGAATATAGAAGATACAACTACAGTTCATATGTGGAAAAATATATGTATTATAAGCGGAACAGGGCATAGTATGGACAAAACTGATATGGCTTTAATCTAGGTTTAACGACTGTCTTAATACTTAATACTGAAATTAATTTTGTAGCAAAATAGCATGCAAATGTGACATAACCATAAAGGTGGCACTGTTTGTCAATAAAACAAAACAAAAAAAATAAATAAAAAAACACACCTCCTGTACCTGAATTTAAAGCTGCTCTGTGAATGCCTGGTGTATACATAATTTGCAAAGACCTCCAACTGGTGCCTGTGGGGGGCAAGGGTAGGTAGGTTTTACTTACATGAACCTGTCCATCAAGGGCACTGCCATACTCTCCTATCCAGTGTTCTACAGCTCCAGGCACTTTAACTGCCAGGAGCCGACATCAGCGATGTACTGTCATATATTCGGTCTCGAGTAATCCTCCACAGAAAGAGCTTTTTCCCCCTACAGCCATCACTGGTGACTGCTGGGGGAAATAACAAAAGTTAGCTCCACCTTTTGTCAAGCAGAGAAACAGTAACTGAGACAAAATATTCCCTACTTTGTTTCAGTATATCTTATGACTTATGCAGTCAATGTGAGTATTTCATAAATATTTTATCTTTATGAAATACAAATTTTAAAGGAGGGATTGACAAATATGCTTTTAAAGACAGTGGACACCACAAAACAATGTTTTAATATACTGATCCTCTCATCATGTTTTGAAAGGAAACTCATCCCTACCTTTATTATATGACAGGATATTTCAGCCATATACATATCTATGGTCTTCCCTGTTTCACTCTCTGTACAGTGCAGCAACATCATTAGACTGTCAAATTCAAACACTGTCCAGCCCAAGGTGCATATACACTAACCAACCACATCATTAAAACCACCTGCCTAATATTGTGTAGGTCCCCTCATGCTGCCAAAAAATTATTTGGATCGAATTTGTAGTTCCAACACATCTTACAGATGCTCAATGGGTCTGAGATCTGGGGAATTTCTATGCCAAGGCAACACCTTGAACTCTGTCATGTTCCTCAAATCATTCCCTGAACATTTTTTGCAGTGTGGCAGGGTGAACAGTGGCCTGTTGAATGAGGCCACTGCCATTAGGGAGCATTATTGCCATGAAGGGATGTATGTGGTCAGCAACAATCTCTAGTTAAGTTGTATGTGTCAAACTAACATCCACATGATTGCCAGGACCCAAGGTTCTCCCCAGCATAACATTGCCCAGAGCATAACACTGCCTCTGCTGGCCTGCATTCGTCCTTCTGTCATTTCTTCCTCAGGTAAATGATGAACATGTACCTGGCCATCCGCCTGATCTAAAGGAAAAGTGATTCATTAGAGGATGCAACCTTCTTCCATTGCTCCATGGTCCAGTTCTGACGCTCACATCTCCATTAAAGGTAATTTTGCGGTGGAGAGAAGTCATTTTGAGGCTATGCAGCCCCCTGCAATGCACACCTCTCTATCTGGCCAGCCTTAAAGGACCACTATAGTGCCAGGAAAACAAACTCATATTCCTGGCACTATGTAGTGCCCCCACCACCCTTATGGCCCCTCTCCCGCTTGGCTGAAAGGGTTAAAACCTCTTCAGCCACTTACCTTTATCCAGCGCTGGGCTCCCTTGGCGCTGGTGACCTCTCCTCCCCCTCTGACGTTGGCTCCTGAGTGGAGCTGAATGCACATGTGCATGCATTAAAACGGCAGCATCTTCTCACTGTGATTTTCACAGGGAGAATCGCGGAAGCGGCCTCTAGTGGCTGTCAGTGAGACAGCCACTAGAGGCTGGATTAACCCTGCAGTGTAAACATAGCAGTTTCTTTGAAACTGCTATGTTTTCAGCTGCAGAGTTAAAACTAGAGGGACCTGGCACCCAGACCACTTCATTCAGCTGAAGTGGTCTAGGTGCCTATAGTGTCCTTTAAGTTTTTCAGCAATTTGAACTACATGGCTAGTATTTGCTCCCCATCTTTGAGCCTTTCATGGCCATGACCCAGAGGCTGGTTCACCAGTTGTCCTTCCTTGCACCGCTTTTGGTCAGTACTATGTACTGAATATTGGGAACACACATTTTGGAGATGATCTAAGCCAGCCATCTAGCAATCACTATTTGGCCCTTGTCAAAGGTCTCAGGACTTTGGCTAGCCCATGTTTCCTGCTTCCAACACATGAAATTCAAGAACTCATTGTTCACTTGCTGCTTAATGTATCTGAATCCTTGACAGGTGCCTTTGTAACGATAATAATACTATAATAACAATAGTAATAATCCATGTATTCACTTTACCTGTCAGTGGTTTTAATGTTGTGGCTGATTAATGTATATTGCTGAAGGATCCTGTCATATAATTCATTTTAAAAAATCTATTTCCTTTCAATACGTGATGAAAGCGTTATTATACTAAAAGTATAAAAGTGTTGACTGTTTTTCTTTAATGAACTGTATAGTGAACAAAGTTGACGAGAAAGCCCAAAGCTTGTAAGTCATTGAAATCACTGCAGACAGGGGAGGAGAGGCTGGCAGCTGATTAATAAAAAGGACATATACAGTATCTGCAATGCACAACTCCAAAGGTGCCAAAAATAACATAACTTATCAGTTCTTCCCCTCAGGCAATACATCTCGTAGCAATGCAATTCATTTAGATAGATATATGGAATGGACTTCATTTTCCAACCATCATTTAAAAAGGGATGCATTTGTTTTTTTTCTCTTATTTTATTCTTCAAAGAAATACTTCAAGCACCATAATCACTACAGCCCTGGCGTCCTCCCAAGGTAAATTGTCAAACTGTTTAAGAACTGTTTAAAAATGTTTCTGGTCCCTGTTGCCACTTCTACTGCTGCCAGATGCTGCTTCTACTAAGCCAAACCTGGCCATGCAAGCTGAGACCACTCAGTGGGCATGAGCACTATCGGCTCCATGTAGTACAAACAAGTTATCAGTTTCTTTTTTTAAGAGAAAAGACTGTCCTTGTCAGGGCCGGTGGAAGGATTGCCGCCATAGGAAAAATATTTTTTTGCTGCCGCCCCATGTGGTGACATCACAACCATATGACCCGCTCATCTCAGCTTATGTGCCCAGATTCCAGTAATGCCACCACGTGCTGATCATAGGGATGTGCAGTACATTTCAATAGGATGTGTACCAGGAAATGATACCCCTATGTTATTTTTTTTAATATTATGTAATGCGAATATTTATTAAAATGTTGAGTGGATATGTGGTGTGGGTGTGCGTCTTGTGTAGGTGTGTAGGGTGGCTGTAAGTGTTGTAGCTATGTGTTAGGTGTATGTTGTGGCTTTCTGTGCGTGATGTATAAGGCTGGCTCTGTTTATAGCTGTGAGTGACGTGCGTGGCTGCATGTGGTTAGATGTGAGTGGTATGTGTAGCTGTGTGAGTAGCCATGAGTAAAAAGTTTAGGCCACTGTGAGTGATATGTGTGGCAATGTGTGGAATTTCAATTTAGCATAAGATGTGAAGGGAGAATCAGGGTTAGCCCCAAATGTATTGGGGGTTTAAAGGCAGCTGCCAGAGATAGGGGCTGTATTAA